ACTCGTTAGGGGGCGTTGGAAAAATAAATGAAGACAAATTGGAAATGAAAATGGATTGTTTTACTATAACTACCCGTAGTTTGGAAGTACTAAATTTTATTTGTGAAAACAAACCCGTTTTCAATCTGAAAGGTTAAATTATGCTTCAAAAGAGATTAGAAAAATACGTTCTAGCTGAGATATACAAGTCCCCCTTTTCTAATACAAACGGCATCTAGAGCATTCTATGCTAACTGAAACTATCGGAAATTGGAAATCGATAGAAATCAGTTTGTTTCCCTTTGTAAAATGTCAGTTTTTACTAATTCAGAGTTTCACAGTTTAATAATTTATCCCGCTGAGATACTCTTTTAAAACGATACAACTTTAATTCTCCTGCTACTTAAGCACTATCTCCGAATCAAAAGCTACTAAATTGCTATTAGTTTCTTAACACACGTATTTTTCTAATCTCTTTTGAAGCATAATTTAACCTTTCAGATTGAAAACGGGTTGACTGGTTTAATTTGAAGAGAACGCTTGATGTGTCTTGAATATAAGTCTTGAAAACACCTTGCAAATGCAATTGATCTGCCTGATCTCGCTCCAGATGATAACGACGATCATCAAGTAGACGTTCTTGGGATTGTCGTTGATTATCAATCCGTTGTTGAAGAAGAGTGATGACAACAGTTCCAATTCCTATCGATAAAGGAATTAGTGCACCGAGTGCCAAGTTTGTCCAAGATAAACAACGTGCTCCACGTTTAAATTTCGCCTTCGGTTCGGTTGTTGTTGAAACAGGAAGTACAAACTTTTGCTTTAAGCGTCGACGACGAAACATTGTTCGATAACAATATTTTACACTCTGCTGTCGAATATTTTGAGAAAACAGTGCTTTAATTGGAAAATATACATTTCTTCAAAGTAAAGTTTTAAAAGAGAGAAAAAATTTAAATCTATTTATTTCATCACGTTTATTAAGGTCAGGATGAATTTATATGACACTCACCGCCCTTACACCGATGATCAGCGGTAGTGATGAGAAACATATTTGCCAATGCGGTTTTAGCCCTCATTCCAATTTCAAATACTGCAGATCGCTACCGTTTGAGGAAAAAACTTATGCAAAAAAGGGGTTTCTGAGCGCAAAAAACGATTTTTCCCTACCAAATGGCGATTGTGCTCTACTTTGTTCAGACCCTCGACTTCACAGAATCTTCATTTTGGTGTTAAACGAAAGATCTCAATGAGCTTTATCGAGATACGGGTAGAAAACTCATGCGAATACTCCGGAAGATTTCTGATAGACCTAGTTTTCGATAAAAAAAACCTGGGTCTTTGGAAGCTCGAAACTCGTTTGAACTCATACCAATCGACGGCTTGTCAAATTATAAACAAAATGAAA